GAAGGAGACCCACAGAGACTGACGAGACCCACAGAGACTGAAGGAGACCCACAGAGACTGACGGAGACCCACATGGACTGAAGGAGACCCACAGAGACTGAAGGAGACCCACAGAGACTGAAGGAGACCCACAGAGACTGAAGGAGACCCACAGAGACTGACGGAGACCCACATGGACTGAAGGAGACCCACAGAGACTGAAGGAGACCCACAGAGACTGAAGGAGACCCACAGAGACTGAAGGAGACCCACAGAGACTGACTGAGACCACTGAGACTGAGACTGACGAGACCCACAGAGACTGAAGGAGACCCACAGAGACTGAAGGAGACCTACAGAGACTGAAGGAGACCCACAGAGACTGAAGGAGACCCACAGAGACTGAAGGAGACCTACAGAGACTGAAGGAGACCCACAGAGACTGAAGGAGACCCACAGAGACTGAAGGAGACCCACAGAGACTGAAGGAGACCCACATGGACTGCATCAGACCTTGTACAGAGACCTTAACTTCCACATATAAGATTTATCCTCTGATCTTTCTCATTATTTGGATGTGAAAAGTCACTTTTATAACACATCTTGTCTCCTCTGGTCTGGTCTCCTCTGGTCTGGTCTGGTCTCCTCTGGTCTGGTCTCCTCTGGTCTGGTCTCCTCTGGTCTGGTCTCCTCTGGTCTGGTCTGGTCTCCTCTGGTCTGGGTCCAGGCTGAACCAGGTCTCTCTCATGGATCAGAGACAGAACGATGCACAAAGGAGCTTTTCACAAAACTATCATTTGGAGTAAAAACTATTTTTAACACACATTGTTTACATAGTTTCTTATCAGGGGCCCAGCAGAACTGGTATTTCATCAGTGGTTCTGGTTCCTCTATGGTCTTACTGCTGGTACATCATCAGGGAGGGTTCTGGTTCCTCTATGGTCTTACTGCTAGTACATCATCAGGGAGGGTTCTGGTTCCTCTATGGTCTTACTGCTGGTACATCATCAGGGAGGGTTCTGGTTCCTCTATGGTCTTACTGCCGGTACAGCATCAGGGAGGGTTCTGGTTCCTCTATGGTCTTACCTGCTGGTATTTCTTCGTCTCCTTCTGGGAGCGCACGGAGCTGAACTCCTCCCGTTTCTGGTTGGACTTCCGCAGGTCGTGTTCCGTGGACCAGAGGTGGAAACCTCCCACACCATTTACACACAGGAGAAGGAGGACGTTAGACACCAGCTGAGGAGGAGAGAGGAGGTCAGAGGTACCAGGAGAGAGGAGGTCAGAGGTACCAGCAGAGAGGAGGTCAGAGGGACCAGCAGAGAGGAGGTCAGAGGGACCAGGAGAGAGGAAGTCAGAGGGACCAGGAGAGAGGAAGTCAGAGGTACCAGGAGAGAGGAGGTCAGCGGGACCAGGAGAGAGGAAGTCAGAGGGACCAGAAGAGAGGAGGTCAGAGGGACCAGGAGAGAGGAAGTCAGAGGTACCAGCAGAGAGGAGGTCAGAGGGACCAGGAGAGAGGAAGTCAGAGGGACCAGAAGAGAGGAGGTCAGAGGGACCAGGAGAGAGGAGGTCAGAGGGACCAGGAGAGAGGAAGTCAGAGGGACCAGAAGAGAGGAGGTCATAGGGACCAGAAGAGAGGAGGTCATAGGGACCAGAAGAGAGGAGGTCAGAGGGACCAGGAAAGAGGAGGTCAGAGGGACCAGGAGAGAGGAGGTCAGAGGGACCAGGAGAGAGGAGGTCATAGGGACCAGAAGAGAGGAGGTCAGAGGGACCAGGAGAGAGGAGGTCAGAGGTCAGCGGGACCAGGAGAGAGGAGAGAGGAGGGACCAGGAGAGAGAAGGTCAGAGGGACCAGGAGAGAGGAGGTCAGAGGGACCAGGAGAGAGGAGGTCAGAGGGACCAGAAGAGAGGAGGTCAGAGGGACCAGAAGAGAGGAGGTCAGAGGGACCAGAAGAGAGGACGTCAGAGGTCAGAGGGACCAGCAGAGAGGAGGTCAGAGGGACCAGGGGAAAGGAGGGCAGTGGGACCAGGAGAGATTAGGTCAGAGGGACCAGGAGAGAGGAGAGAGGAGGGACCAGGAGAGAGAAGGTCAGAGGGACCAGGAGAGAGGAGGTCAGAGGGACCAGGAGAGAGGAGGTCAGAGGGACCAGAAGAGAGGAGGTCAGAGGGACCAGAAGAGAGGAGGTCAGAGGGACCAGAAGAGAGGACGTCAGAGGTCAGAGGGACCAGAAGAGAGGATGTCAGAGGTCAGAGGGACCAGCAGAGAGGAGGTCAGAGGGACCAGGGGAAAGGAGGTCAGTGGGACCAGGAGAGATTAGGTCAGAGGGATCAGAAGAGAGGAGGTCAGAGGGACCAGAAGAGAGGAGGTCAGAGGGACCAGAAGAGAGGACGTCAGAGGTCAGAGGGACCAGAAGAGAGGATGTCAGAGGTCAGAGGGACCAGCAGAGAGGAGGTCAGAGGGACCAGGGGAAAGGAGGTTTGTGGGACCAGGAGAGAGGAGGTCATGTGGTTCTGGATAGATAGTTACAGAACCATGTGTGTGTTGACTCTGTAATCCACGTAGTTTAGCTTAGTTGTAATCCCGCGTGACCCACGCAGCCACCGGACGTGATGCTTTAACCTGGCGCTGCCCCCTGTCCTCCCCCCTGTCCTCCCCCCTGTCCTCCCCCCTCTCATGGTGCTGCACTCACTGTTGTGATGCTACTGCTGCTATCCGCTGCTGCGACTGATCTGCCATGGATCTGCTGAATCACCGCTGCTTTGCCTCGAGCTAGGACATCCCTCCATCGCTCAGCGGTGAGTCCGTTTTACTCTGATACTTGTTAAGAGTTTGATACGAGCGAGCATTGAGCACTCCATTAGATGTACGCGCGGATATTAGCCGCTCTTCGGGCAGCACAAACGCCAGAGTGGAGTTTCAAATCCACGTAATGCAAATCGATTTACTGATTTATATTCTTTTGTTCCTGCCGGATCTTAGGTTAGGCCTTTATTAAGTTAAGGACACCTTGTGTTGTTTAAACCCGTCCTGGATATAATTAGAACGAATGGTTTTGGCGTGTATACTTGGTTTGGCCATGACTGTTCTGCATTGACCCCATGGTGACGATCATGAGTGAGATCTTTTGATTAATATTTGAATTCGTTGCGCAACTTTTGATTTGATCGATATCTAGAACATAGCCACATCTTTACTTAAAGTGCACTTAATTATGTGACTAATGAACTATGTTTAATAATGTATTATGTTTACAAACCCCATTGTAGATTGTTATATTTCTTCATTGTTATGTGTGTGTATAGAAGCAAGCTTTGGGTTTTACTATGAGTCATAATTTGGGTTTTTTCCTTTGACCTCGTGTAGGTCAGGTTTTTTCACCCCTCCCTTTACCCCTCCTCGTGGACTATGATGGCGAGCTAAGAGCCCCCACCTCATGGTAGGAGATCGACGTCTATTTGTTTGTTCCTGATGTAAAAAACTGGATTCGTTGCTGGATATTACAAATAACTTCCGGATATTGAAACGATTCGACCAAACGGAACTTGTATAGAACTGTATAGAAAGAACTCATAGGACACGAGTTGCCTGTTTTTGTTTTGTTTTGTTTATTTAACACATTCATTCGTTTCCTCATAGTTGTTTTGTTTTGAGTCCTGCATATTTGGTTATTTTTTTCCTCATTGTCATTGAGGGCACCTACTCATATAATAAGAATACATAATTCAATTCAACCATTTGCTTCTTTCCTTTTTCATTCACTCTATGGCTCCCCTCCGAGCCAGTTTTCTGGTCAGTTAAGCAGTTGTTCCGCAGTCACCCGACCTCGCCCTAAAGAGCGTTACAACTCACTTTGTCCCAGTGCCTCAAATACTACACAGTTCTGCACTAGAACATGCAGTATTTTATCTTATTGTATGTGACACAGTTATGGTTTTTATCTTGTGCTCCTCATTCTACTGTTCTGTACCTGATGATGCAACACTGAACTTTCCACACTCTGGGACCAATACAGGACCTAAGGTTGCCAAGGCAACCAGGAATTTCCAACGTGTGTATCTGTGTGTATCTGTTTGTGTGTGTGTGTGTGTGTGTGTGTGTGTATCTGTTTGTGCGTATGTGTGTGTGTGTATCTGTTTGTGCGTATGTGTGTGTGTGTATCTGTTTGTGCGTATGTGTGTGTGTGTATCTGTTTGTGCGTATGTGTGTGCGTGTGTATCTGTTTGTGCGTATGTGTGTGTGTATCTGTTTGTGCGTATGTGTGTGCGTGTATCTGTTTGTGCGTATGTGTGTGTGTATCTGTTTGTGCGTATGTGTGTGTGTGTGTATCTGTTTGTGCGTATGTGTGTGTGTGTATCTGTTTGTGCGTATGTGTGTGTGTGTATCTGTTTGTGCGTATGTGTGTTGTAGAAAGTCCCATTATCTCTTAAATATGTAAATCTTGTGTTTTGCATTTACCTCAGAGTCTTGGCCTCAAACTGAAAACTGTCCTTGAGCCAAATTCTGGAGAACCACATCTGAGACCGAGACTCACCCGAGAACGGCTTTTGTTTTGGAAAGTTACTTCAAACAACATTATTTTAAAATAATGTGTTGCTACAATATTACTGTTAAGAGAAAACTTTACTATCTCCAGTATTGATTATAGCAGAGATTATAACATAAGAGTGATGTTATGACAGAGTTTTGTTGTGGTTATGAAGTTGCGTAGCCGAGCTTTAAAGTGAATGTCTGACCTGCACGGCGAGGTCTGGGGTCTGAGGACTGGTTCGAGAGACGTAGACACTGATGATGACGATGTGACAGACGCTGGTGAAGAGTCCGACCATCAGAGCCCAGGCCAGAGACAGAGGCAGGACCGTGTAGACCGAGAGGGACAGGAACAGGAAGAAGCCCACCTGCAACCAGCAACACACACCAGCAACACACACCAGCAACACACAGACACACACACAGACACACAAACCAGCAACACACACACACAGACACACACAAACCAGCAACACATGGTAAAGGAGATTATTGTGAAGCAGTGGTTTCTACACATCTAGAACCATTTATCTTATCTATCTCTCTGGTCTCTCTCTGGTCTCTCTCTGGTCTCTCTCTGGTCTCTCTCTGGTCTCTCTCTGGTCTCTCTCTGGTCTCTCTCTGGTCTCTCTCTGGTCTCTCTCTGGTCTCTCTCTGGTCTCTCTCTGGTCTCTCTCTGGTCTCTCTCTGGTCTCTCTCTGGTCTCTCTCTGGTCTCTCTCTGGTCTCTCTCTGGTCTCTCTCTGGTCTCTCTCTGGTCTCTCTCTGGTCTCTCTCTGGTCTCTCTCTGGTCTCTCTCTAGTCTCTCTCTAGTCTCTCTCTAGTCTCTCTCTAGTCTCTCTCCAGTCTCTCTCTAGTCTCTCTCTGGTCTCTCTCTCTGGTCTCTCTCTCTGGTCTCTCTCTCTGGTCTCTCTCTCTGGTCTCTCTCTCTGGTCTCTCTCTCTCTGGCCTATCTCTCTATGGTCTCTCTCTCTCTGGTCTCTCTCTCTCTGGTCTCTCTCTCTCTGGTCTCTCTCTCTGGTCTCTCTCTGGTCTCTCTCTGGTCTCTCTCTGGTCTCTCTCTGGTCTCTCTCTGGTCTCTCTCTGGTCTCTCTCTGGTCTGGTCTCTCTGGTCTCTCTGGTCTCTCTCTGGTCTCTCTCTGGTCTCTCTCTCTCTGGTCTCTCTCTCTGGTCTCTCTCTGGTCTCTCTCTGGTCTCTCTCTAGTCTCTCTCTAGTCTCTCTCTCTGGTCTCTCTCTCTGGTCTCTCTCTCTGGTCTCTCTCTCTGGTCTCTCTCTCTGGTCTCTCTCTCTGGTCTCTCTCTCTGGTCTCTCTCTCTGGTCTCTCTCTCTGGTCTCTCTCTGGTCTCTCTCTGGTCTCTCTCTGGTCTCTCTCTCTGGTCTCTCTCTCTGGTCTCTCTCTCTGGTCTCTCTCTCTGGTCTCTCTCTCTGGTCTCTCTCTCTGGTCTCTCTCTCTCTGGCCTCTCTCTCTATGGTCTCTCTCTCTCTGGTCTCTCTCTCTGGTCTCTCTCTGGTCTGGTCTCTCTCTGGTCTCTCTCTGGTCTCTCTCTGGTCTCTCTCTGGTCTCTCTCTCTGGTCTCTCTCTCTGGTCTCTCTCTCTGGTCTGGACTGATGTGTGGTGTGAGTTGTGCTACCAGGGTCTTTTCCGACAATAATGTGAAATAAAACCAAGTTTACAGTTAATACTGTCTGTCTGTATTTATCCTTTATAAGACCAGAAAGACCAGAAAGACCAGAAAGACCAGGAAGACCAGGAAGACCAGGAAGAATGCTGCTGAAGGGTTCCTAGACCCAATTTTCAAAAAAGTCCAGGGTCGTCTCAATCCTCCTGATTCCACCAGCTCTATCCTGCTCGACTCTACTCTGCTCTACCCTACCTCTACTCTACTCTACTCTACCCGCCCTGTGTACTCTACTCTGCTCTACCTACTCTACTCTACTCTACCCTACCCTACTCTACTCTATCCTGCTCTACTCTACTCTGCTCTACCCTACTCTACTCTACTCTACTCTACCCTACCCTGTGTACGCTACTCTGCTCTTTCTACTCTACTCTACTCTACTCTACCCTACCCTACTCTACTCTACTCTACTCTACTCTACACTACTCTATTCTACCCTGCCCTGTGTACTCTACCCTGCTCTATCTCTACTCTTCTCTACTCTACGCCTACTCTACTCTACCTACCCTGCCCTACTCTACTCTACCCTACTCTACCTACCTACCCTGCCCTACTCTACTCTACTCTACCCTACTCTACTCTACCCTACCCTACCCGGGCTCTACTCTACTCTACTCTACTCTACCTGCCCTGCCCTGCTCTACCCTACTCTACTCTACTCTACCCTACTCTACTCTACTCTACTCTACTCTGCCACTGCCCCTGCCCTGCCCTACTCTACTCTACTCTACTCTACTCTACTCTACTCTACCCTACTCTACTTCTACTCTACTCTACTCTACCCTACTCTACTCTACCCTTACTCTGCCTCTAGCTCTACTCTACTCTACTCTACCCTACTCTACTCTACTCTACTCTACCATCTTTTTTACTAGTGGAATGTATGTTGCTCTGTTACTAAAAGTATAGTGATAAATAGGGATTATTTGTCGAGTATGTAGTATTTACTACAGATGTTTAACACAAGCTGAGTTTAAATCACAGGTTGGTTGACAGATTTGTTTGGATTGAATCCCAAACTGAACTTGAAACACGTTGGGAATTAGGCATTGAAACATTTTTCCTGACCTGTTGGGTTTAAAATATAACTAAAGCTGAATAGAAATGGTCCCCCAGGGGGGGTGGTGGGGGGGGGGGGGGGGGGGGGGGGGGTGGGGGGGACACCCAAGGGGGGGGGGGGGGGGGGGGGGGTGGCACACCCCACACACCCCACCCAAGGGGGCAAAAGTGGGTGGGGGGGGGGGGGGGGGGGGGGGGGGGGGGACAACACAACCAAGGGTGGGGGGGGGGGGGGGGGGGGGGGGGGGGGGGGGGGGGGGGGGGGGGGGGGGGGGGGGGGGGGGGGGGGGTGATATGTTGGGGAAGTGGGTTGGGAGAAAAAAGCATGGGGGGGGGGGGGAATAAAAATTTTTGTAGGTGCCAATGCGACCGGCGCAATAAAGGTTTACAGGTGGGTCCAAAAAGTGGGTCTGGTCCAACGCTACGATCCAGATGCTGTAGATGTTGAGGGGCAGTGTTTCTGTTGCTGGACCACTCTTTGCCTCGTCTCGCTGTAGACTTTTGCAGGGCTAGCACATGCACAGATTGCATTGTTTCACATTGTTCCCATGCCCCCATGTTCTCAGTGAGAAACCGGGTTTGTTTCGTGTCTTGGAAAAATCTCACACTCAGCATTTTTAACATTAACTGTGGTTCAGTTGTTTTCTGGGAGAGGACAGAGAGGAGGCGCAGAGGAGGGCGGGAGGAGGGGAGGTCGAGGAGGGTGAGAGTCTGTTCTCTCCCCAGGATCCTTGGGACCTCAGAGCCCATGGAAGTCGCTCCGTCATGAGAGAAACTGGGGAGAACTCGTTCATGGTCTCAGTTTTCAGACCGAGACCGGTAGCGAGAGGACGATCTGTGCTGGCAGGGTAAGAGCAGAAACTCTGACTGCTGACTCTGACCAGACTCTGACCTGACTCTGACGCTGACTCAGAGAAAACTAGAGTCCACAGATCAAAGCAGAACCATCGAGCCGACAGGTGAGACGCTTCTGGGTCCTCCATCAGGTAGAATCATTCGAAACATGGTTACCGGTTGGGATGTTTCAGCTGGCGCTCTACCACTGAGTTAAAGTGTTACCAGAAAGACACCAGAGAGATACTGTATTCCAGCGGGAGAGCAGAGGAACAAAAAACGGAGGGGACAACAGAGAAACCAGAGAGAGGGTGACCAGAAAAGACACCCCAGAGAGACCAGCGAAGAAAACCGAGAGAGACCGTGAGAGAGACCGAGAGAGGGATCCAGAGAGAGACCGAGAGAAAACCCGAGAGAGACACGGAGAGAGCTCCAAGAGAGAGCCCACAGAGAGAGACCAAGATGAGCCCCCAGCGATGAGACCAAAGAGACACCAGAGAGAGACCAGAGAGAGGACAAAGACCCAGGGCCAGGACCTAGAACCAGGTACCATGGACCAGGACCAAGGACCCGGATTAGGGCTTCTCCCTGTGTTGTCTGGCGCCTCCTCCCTCCTTCCACATGGTTATTAGCATTAAAGTATCGAGCTCTAACCTCAACTCTACAACTAATTATTGAGCCTTTGATGTATAATTAACACATAAAATGTAGATCACCGCAAAGAGGGACTACTGCTGCGTTCAGGACCGGCGCGGATCATGCAGCGTCGGCTTTAATGCAAAGTCAGGCGGGGTGACGCGCTTTGTCGAGGCGTCAAAATGCATGGTGCGTCTGGGAATACACACACAGACAGCTCTGGTAGAGACTCACAGACTGCTCTGTAGAGACTCACGGACTGCTCTGTAGAGACTCACGGACTGCTCTGTAGAGACTCACAGACTGCTCTGTAGAGACTCACAGACTGCTCTGTAGAGACTCACGGACTGCTCTGTAGAGACTCACGGACTGCTCTGTAGAGACTCACGGACTGCTCTGTAGAGACTCACGGACTGCTCTGTAGAGACTCACGGACTGCTCTGTAGAGACTCACAGACTGCTCTGTAGAGACTCACGGACTGCTCTGTAGAGACTCACGGACTGCTCTGTAGAGACTCACGGACTGCTCTGTAGAGACTCACAGACTGCTCTGTAGAGACGCACGGACTGCTCTGTAGAGACGCACGGACTGCTCTGTAGAGACGCACGGACTGCTCTGTAGAGACGCACGGACTGCTCTGTAGAGACGCACAGACTGCTCTGTAGAGACGCACGGACTGTTCTGTAGAGACGCACGGACTGCTCTGTAGAGACGCACGGACTGCTCTGTAGAGACGCACAGACTGCTCTGTAGAGACGCACAGACTGCTCTGTAGAGACGCACGAACTGCTCTGTAGAGACGCACAGACTGCTCTGTAGAGACGCACGGACTGCTCTGTAGAGACGCACGGACTGCTCTGTAGAGAGGCACAGACTGCTCTGTAGAGACGCACAGACTGCTCTGTAGAGTTGCACGGACTGCTCTGTAGAGACACACGGACTGCTCTGTAGAGACGCACAGACTGCTCTGTAGAGACGCACGGACTGCTCTGTAGAGACGCACGGACTGCTCTGTAGAGACGCACGGACTGCTGCTCTGTAGAGACGCACAGACTGCTCTGTAGAGACGCACGGACTGCTCTGTAGAGACGCACGGACTGCTCTGTAGAGACGCACAGACTGCTCTGTAGAGACGCACAGACTGCTCTGTAGAGACACACAGACTGCTCTGTAGAGACGCACGGACTGCTCTGTAGAGACGCACAGACTGCTCTGTAGAGACACACAGACTGCTCTGTAGAGACGCACAGACTGCTCTGTAGAGACGCACAGACTGCTCTGTAGAGACGCACGGACTGCTCTGTAGAGACGCACGGACTGCTCTGTAGAGACGCACGGACTGCTCTGTAGAGACGCACGGACTGCTCTGTAGAGACGCACGGACTGCTCTGTAGAGACGCACGGACTGCTCTGTAGAGACGCACGGACTGCTCTGTAGAGACGCACGGACTGCTCTGTGGAGACGCACGGACTGCTCTGTAGAGACGCACAGACTGCTCTGTAGAGACGCACGGACTGCTCTGTAGAGACGCACAGACTGCTCTGTAGAGACACACGGACTGCTCTGTAGAGACGCACAGACTGCTCTGTAGAGACGCACAGACTGCTCTGTAGAGACGCACGGACTGCTCTGTAGAGACGCACGGACTGCTCTGTAGAGACACACGGACTGCTCTGTAGAGACACACGGACTGCTCTGTAGAGACGCACAGACTGCTCTGTAGAGACGCACGGACTGCTCTGTAGAGACGCACGGACTGCTCTGTAGAGACGCACAGACTGCTCTGTAGAGACGCACGGACTGCTCTGTAGAGACACACGGACTGCTCTGTAGAGACGCACGGACTGCTCTGTAGAGACTGACTGCTCTGTAGAGTTGCACGGACTGCTCTGTAGAGTTGCACAGACTGCTCTGTAGAGACGCACGGACTGCTCTGTAGAGACGCACGGACTGCTCTGTAGAGACGCACGGACTGCTCTGTAGAGACGCACAGACTGCTCTGTAGAGACGCACGGACTGCTCTGTAGAGACCATAGACCGTATATATTAACCATAGACTGTATATATTAACGAACAGAGTCACGCCTATCTCCGCCATTCTAACTAATGGACCAAAAATGTGCTCTACTGGAGCTATCCAAAATGGCCGCGAGTGGTCCCGCCCACAAGAAAATTGTGAAAAAACGCATCTGTGCATGCGTCAGCCAGCGCAGCTCCATTCATTTGAACGAGAGACTTCAAAAATTCACAACAACTAAACCAGAGTGGTCCAAAAAAATCCACTCCCCTCAGCATTGACACACATGTGGAACGGAACTTTGGGCCAAGAATCAGTGGGGGCAGGTCCCGGCTCAAAAGTTGCAAAAATTGTGTGCGCTGACATGCTGCAATACCACCCCGGGCCTGTGGGGGTGGACCCGGAATAAAAATTAGCCAATGCTAGCATATAGCATCTTCTTACCTCTCGAAAACACCTTTACAGGATGGACCAAAAGTTGTCTCTTGGCCCAAAGCTCCGTTCCACATGTGTGTCAATGCTGAGTGTTCTGGACCAGTCTAGTTTACTCGCTGTGGACTTTAGAAGTCACTCGACTTTAGAAGTTTTTTCACAATTTTCTTGTGGGCGGGACCACTCGCGGCCATTTTGGATAGCTCCAGTAGAGCACATTTTTGGCCCATTAGTTAGAACGGCGGAGATAGGCGTGACTCTGTCCGTTCATATTTACAGTCTATGGTAGAGACGCACGGACTGCGTGGGAAAGTCGAAGGGGTGGAGCAGGAGCGGAAAATCGTCGCATGCGGGAAAAAAATATTCCTGAACATTTCCTTGGACGTTCGTGCAGCGACCAATCAGAGAGCTGCTAAGTGGTCACAGAGACATTAGCGGACTGAGCGAGCAGACTGAACATACTGTAAACAGCCAAAACAGGACTAAACCAGGACTAAACCAGGGCTAAACCAGGACTAAACCAGGGTTGACAATGGTGGACATAGTGCTTGTGAACATGTGAGTTTTCATGCTCCTGTGACTTTATGCAACTGCTTCGAGTGTGTTCTTGATACGGAAATACTGTTTAATAATAAAATAAACTTATCCCGCACCTCCGTGAACACCTACTGCTGTTATATAAAGTCACCTCCATGAACACATATTGCTGTTATATAAAGTCACCTCTGTGAACACATACTGCTGTTATATAAAGTCACCTCTGTGAACACATACTGCTGTTATATAAAGTCACCTCCATGAACACATACTGCTGTTATATAAAGTCACCTCTGTGAACACATACTGCTGTTATATAAAGTCACCTCTGTGAACACATACTGCTGTTATATAAAGTCACCTCCGTGAACACATACTACTGTTATATAAAGTCACCTCCGTGAACACATACTGCTGTTATATAAAGTCACCTCCGTGAACACATACTGCTGTTATATAAAGTCACCTCCGTGAACACATACTGCCGTTATATAAAGTCACCTCCGTGAACACATACTGCTGTTATATAAAGTCACCTCCGTGAACACATACTGCTGTTATATAAAGTCACCGTGAACACATACTGCTGTTATATAAAGTCACCGTGAACACATACTACTGTTATATAAAGTCACCTCCGTGAACACATACTGCTGTTATATAAAGTCACCTCCGTGAACACATACTGCTGTTATATAAAATCTGTGAAGGTTTCAGACACACAGACGCTGCAGAGCTGCATTATTGGAGAAGAACTTTACACAAAAAGCCACTAGCTTAACTCCGTTAGCATCAAAGTCCGCCCGTCATTTCCGCCACTTCCGGCGCGCGCCACAGCAGCAGGACTTCTAGTCTGAAGACCCCTGCATCTGAAACCTAGAGAATATGCGTCTGGTGCGCGAGGCGTCAGCGTTCCAGCGTTGGCTCTGTGAACGCACCATAACTCTTTATAAAGAAAACTCACTCAGAGAGACCAGAGAGAGACCAGAGAGAGACCAGAGAGAGACCAGAAAGAGACCAGAGACAGACCAGAGAGAGACCAGAGAGAGACCAGAGAGAGACCAGAGAGAGACCAGAAAGAGACCAGAGACAGACCAGAGAGAGACCAGAGAGAGACCAGAGAGAGGCCGAGAGACCAGAGAGAGAGACCAGAGACCAGAGAGAGACCAGAGAGAAGCCAGAAAGAGACCAGAGGGAGACCAGAGAGAGACCAGAGAAACCAGAGAGAGACCAGAGACAGACCAGAGAGAAGCCAGAAAGAGACCAGAGGGAGACCAGAGAGAGACCAGAGAAACCAGAGAGAGACCAGAGACAGACCAGAGAGAGACCAGAGAAAGACCAGAATAATAATCCCATTTTGTTATATTTAACCAAATAGAACAAAATGGCCTCTCTCCGGTCTCTCCCAGGCCTCATTCCGGTCCCTCTGGTCTCTCTCTGGTCTTGCCACAAACTGAAACATTGATTCTAAACAGTGATATTACCATATTTCTCATCATAAAAGCCAACAAAACTCTGCAGCTGC